CTGTGCTTCGGTATTCAGACATCAAGGGAGAATAGACATTTAGAAAATAATTCAGCATGTTGATTTGATATTGTATTTTAAGATATATTTTTACGAATACCCAGAGCTTATAAATCTAACATATTACATCTGTTGCCACTGAGAAAAGAAGAATTTTGAAATAAATGTTAATAAATTTTCTATTTTAACTCCATTTTGTGTCTACTGAGCATATAAATCTTCACAGCCTGGTGTGAACAGTTGCACTTCATTTTCTGAATTGACACTGTAAGTCGTTTGCTATGCCAGTGTGAATTACCAAAACTAAGTCTAAAAATATATTTTACTTCTACTTTTTTGTCATAATTACTCCTATTTGAGACATTTAGATGGTTCAAAACTGTCAAAATTTAGACTCTGTAGGTTACATATAACAAATTTCATATATATATGAAACCAAGTGGCCAGAAAAATATATTGCAAATATAACCTTAAAATGCATTTAATTTAAATGAGGACAGTTTCTGGATACAGCATGGTGAGCAACACTTTTTTTCAAGGAGATACTGCTAGGCAATTTCACAGTTTTTTAAAGGTATTAATAACCTTCAGAGTTATGTATGACATTTTCTGTCTCTTTAACAGAGGAGAGCAGGCTTCCTTGGGAGGTGTTGTCAGTCAGTTCTTCTAGACATTATTGGTTTGTTTTTATAATTTTTGTCCATTTTCTATTATTGCTTGTGTTTCTATTTTTAACACAAAATATAGTTTTTAAAGCTACAAGATGGACTGGAACTCAACAGTCCAAGCTGGTTTAATCATTATGTCTCAGCTTCTTGATTGCTGAGATTATTAGAGTGTTCCACTATGCTTAGATAAATAATTTTCTTAGACACAGAATATAAAGATTCTCAAATATTGTCAAATTCTTATAACCAGAGTCATTATTATAAAGTATTTTAAATATGGCCTTGCTCATATGAACCTACAGTAATGGTGTCAGAATGCACAAGACACACTCAAACTCAAGCAGACAAAAACCCATCACAGAACTATGGAAATGGGCAACAGGCCTCCTTCTTTGTTGGAGAATTATCAGCAGCTGATTACTGCCCAGTGAGGAAGAGCTGATCTTCTTAAAGGAAGGGACTCTAGATAAACTGACTAGAACTCAGTGGGTGAACTTTCACTGAAAGATGTCTGGGGACACTAACTTGACATAATAGACTTTAACACAAATTACAGAATGCATGAATTCCAGTGGGGCGGGTCATGGGAGGGTGCTAGTGGGGAAGGCAACATAAAGTTGGTTAAGATATGCTGTATTAAATACACAAAAATTCAATAAAAATTTCACACACACACACCCAAAAAAAAAAAAAAACAACAACAACTCAGAGGTTGGAGAGATGGCTCAGTGGTCAAGGGCACTTTCAGAGAATCCTGGTTCGATTCCCAGTACCCACATGGCTGCTAACAGCCATCCATAAATGTAGTTCCAGAGAAATCTGATGATCTCTTTGACATCGGTGGGCATTGCATGACACAGGTCCACTTACATATGTGCAAGCAATACACTTATACACATAAATTAAAAATAACTAAAATATTTTTAAAAAGTAACCCATATTATTAATTTAATGTTTCTAATTATCAATAATGGTATTCTCATTTACCAATATTTTATTCAAATTCCTTGCATTCTTTCTCCTTTGCTAGTATATTGTTCTGGTCATTAATCATCTCTTCATAATTTTTAATACAGTGCATAAAATCAGTCAATGTATTATTTAGTTTGCCATAATTCTATATTCCCATTTTGAGTAAATATAAATTCTAGGTTGAAAGTTCTTCCTAATGAGGACTTTTAAGATGAACTTATTTCTAGAATGAAATAGAAATATTATGAAAATTATAAAGGATACTGGGAATCTCATTGTTTCATAATTAAAATGAGGAAGTTTAATCTTATTGGTCAATGAATCAAGAAAGCAAGCTTCAATAATATTATTCAAAGTCATGGAAAACTCTCTGCATAATGGCTTGCTAAGTAATTTATACTAGCCCACTATTAACAATTAGCAATGCTTAGAGGCACATAGAAAAAAAAGTCAGCTAGAAATTCTCAGTAAAAACAAGAAGTTAAGGAGGCAGCTGGAGAAAAAGAACAGCTTGGGGACTATCCCTTAATTCAAAGCACAGGTCATAAGTGTCAAAGAAGACATACCTCTGATGTTTATGTGCGCCTTAATCGAAGGCTTACCTTTGCATTTATTTTCACTTAATTATCACCTTTACCACATCTTTTTTGTTTCTTCTGCAAGTTCTGTTAGATACATGCTTAATTATATCTGTTCAGCCTTCCTTATTTCTCTTCTACATTTTCAATATTTTCTTTTAGGTAGAAGTCTTACGATCTTACCGTGTCATGAATCCTTTAATTTGCCGTTTTCTACAAATAACGCAGTTTTAGTAATTTTTATTTATAGATGTTTAATTTTGTCTTTTTTTCCCTCAGTTGTTTCTCTTTTGTTTCCATTATTTTATGGTTTGCTTTTATAGAAAAAATTATTAAATTTGAATAGTTTTCTTTGGGAGTTGTTCTTCTCTTTCTTTTTCTTTGTTGACTTTTCTTCATCTGGGTTTATTTACATATATGGCTTGTAAGTTTATTGTTATTCTGTCATCAGCAAGGTTACCTGCTTCTTTTGAGAAATCCTTTCCTCTTATATTTATGCATGGGTTTAAAGATTGTCCCTTCCTGGATCTACTAGAATTTGTGTTAACTTACCAGCTTTGGGTCTTGCACTATGTAAAAATGGATACTCTCCATATACGCAGGGTGCGGGGCTAGATTTTGCTGTGTCTGTGTCTCATAGCTGGAAGGCATGTCTCCGCAGCTTTCATGGACTAGGGATGCAGTTTCACTTGCCCACATTCATCTAAGCTCCAAGGCTTTAGTAATAAATCCAATTCCTCATCTTGCATGGTTGTGAACCTTATGTCTGACCTTCCATATTTAACAAACTCTATAACTCAGCCATTTATGACCTCATTCCAGTGAGAGAGCACTGTGGACTACTAACTCTGCAAATTTTAATTTCTTTTTTCAACCTGGATTTGCTCATTTTAACTTAGTTATTTATTTCATTATGAAAGAAAAAAAGTTAGTCCTATGTATTTTTAAAAGTATACTCATTAACCCTCACCAAATATCTTGAATAGACATAGGGATTTGAGGTTTTTTTTAAAAAATTTTATTTATTATTTGTATTTTATGTGTATGCATGTATTGCCTGCATGTAGGTAAGTGCACCCGTGTTGTGCAATGCCGGTGGAGGTCAGAAAGGGAAAATTCTTTTTATTTTGGTCTTTTTGAGATAGGCTCTCCCTGTAGCCTCAGCTGTATAGACTAGGCTGGCCTTGAACTCGGGACTTACAGAGATCCGCCTGCCTCTGCCTCCTGAGTGCTGGGATTAAAGGCGTACACCACGATGCCCTGGGACTGGAGTTATGCCATGTGGGTGCTGGGATTCGAACCCAGGCCTTCTGCAAGAACAACCAATGTTCTTAACTGCTGAACCATCTCTCCCGCCCTTTAAGAAGTTCCTCAGTTTCTCATATAAACATGCCCCTTATTCCATTATAAACCCTAGAGCGTCTTAGGAAAACATTGATATAGATACTCTATGTAATTGTATATAGTCTCTTTCTACTCTGATGATTTGCAATATATGTTTTAGTGATGGTTGTTTTCTATATTTAATATTTTTATGTCACATGTCAAATTAGGTAACTATGTGAACAGGCCTATGTGAATTGTCTACTGCATAGAATTCTATTCATTTTGTTGTCACTACCAACATATGAGATGAATAATAAAGAAAGCCAAACAGAGAGTATTCTCATTTTTCTTTCATTCAATAATTATGTAACTTATTTATGCCAAATATTTTCTTGGTGTTTCAAAGAAGTAGTGAATAAAATAAAATGAGATCTATCATTGTATTTATTTCTTTATATTGTTGGAGAACAGACATTAAGGCAATAACATTGGGGCTGGAGAGTTGGCTCAGCAGTTAAAAGCACTGACTGCTCTTGAGACAGGCCCAGGTTTGATTCCCAGAACCCACATGGCGGCTAATAACTGTCCATAACTCCAGTTCCAGGGGATCTGATGTCCTCTTCTGACCTCTGCGGGCATGGCATGACATGGGTGCACTTTCATGCACACAGGTAATACATTCATACATATAAAATAAAAATAATAAATAAAATATAGAAAATGAATTAACATTGGAGCAAAGGATGAACTATTCAAGACTAGAGAGAGCCCTTCTTTCACTGCCCTGGAGTCAGGACTGAAGTCCCTCTTACAGACTCATCTAGGCTTTTCATGTGGTTCTGATATTTTTAGGATAGTAGATGGCAATGAGTATTACTGGAGTTCACTTGCCTCTGGTACTATCACAGCTGACACAGTGGAATACTTTTGGATCCCTGGACATTACACCCGAGACTGAGTTAGATGGTGCTCCATTCTCAATCATGACAGAAGAGGATTGTGAAATCCTTAAAATCCCTGCAAAGGAATATGAAAAGGTAAAATTAGTATGGCATCCAAGTTGGTTTTATTTTTAAAATTTGTGTTGACATAGAAATAATAAAATGTGGATTACCTGGTGATTATCATTTATGCAGTTTCTCCTGGTGATAAGTTCTTGAGATAAAAGGCCAAGGTCTCTGTCTCCTTTTGAGTACTTTTCTACTTTTTTATGAATTTCAAATCATTTACTCATTCATTTAGCAAATAGGGAGATTGTGTGTCAATAAGGATGTTGTGCACTGGGAATACAAGATAGTTAGACCACAGCACTGTTGCTTTCAAGATTTCAACAGGTTACATTAGTATTACTTCAGAATGGTTGAAATGCTGCATAGCCATATAGTCACACAAACTTCCAAACTCAGAACTGAATAAAAACATGTTCAAACTCAATTCTGGGCATCTAATTCTTATGTTTAAGGCAACTAATTTATGTAGATTTAATTGCTAGTTTTTTTCTAGTCTAATCCCTGAAGTCCCTCTCTCCTACTTCTGTTAGAGGGCAGAAAAAGATTGTATAAATGATGGACGTCAGAGGTCCCCATGGACTTGCTGTCCTTGCATCTCCAGATAGGCTCTAAGATTGGTCCTGGTCCTGCAGGGTACTAGCAAATCCAGTGCTTAACTTGGAAGGAGGTGGAGAGACGTTTCTCTTCTTGCTAGCATCTCAAATAATGGTGATTTCTTTAATATAATGGTGTCCATGGTGTAAGCAATTTTTTCAGAATTAAAAATTATTTTTTGAATATTCTACCTTCAAAAGTATTTTGCTTGTTTTTATTTCCCAATTATCAGAATGAATTTCATGATTTTTGTCAAATATGACATTTAAGTTTAGCCTTGTTGCTGACAAGTTTTTATTTTTCAATGTTTATAGAAATGTAAGATATAATGGCAAAAGTGAAAATTGTAATAGTATATCAATTTTAAGATTAAAATTTCAGTACTGCTTCATGGTTGTAGTGATAACCAAACACTTTTCAAATTTATTTTTATTATCATTAGAGTTCTTTTTTTGTCTTTCTTTTCTATATTTTTTTCTCATCTTTAAATTATCTCATATTTGAAATTATATGATGTCATTCTTTTACAGGAAAAAATAAAATGTGAAAATACACAAAAGTTGAAATTAATCCAAAAGTGTCCTTTTTATAAAGACTGGCCTAATTTGTCCATATATGATCTAGTTGCACTTAGTAAGTGGAAAAAATTTCCTCCTGGTCATGGTGAGTTTAATTAAATTTTAGATTAGTTTCTTTACATTAATCATATTATCTGAAATTGTAATTCTTTATAGTTTTAATATTCTAAATATTTCTTCATGTAGTTATTCTCTTATTTATCTATGAAATAAATAATTAAACTGCTTACCATTTTAAGAAATGGACTTCTTTTTTTGGCTTCAAGAGTTGTTTCAGAACAAGCCTGAATTCCATGTCTCTCCACATCCATGTAGCCCTCTCCTTGTACCTCACACTTACAGTTACAATCAATGCCAAACTTGAAGGAGGAAGGCAACATATGGCCATAGCCAGTGTTTTTCCATTCTCTTAGTTGGGAAAGTTCTTGATCAGTAAGTTTGTCAATCTCCATCAGTGAAGAAAGTAATAATTATATGTCACCCATCTCTTATCAAAATGCTTACAACAAGAAGTATTTAGCTTCAGCTTTTCAAATGTTTGGAAATTTTTCATATAAATATAGAGGTATCTTGGAGATAAGATGGAAGCCTAAACTTGGATTTTTCTATATTCCATCATTACATTCCACATGTAGGATGGAGGTAATCTATACAGTATTGCTAGTGCACATGTGTTTTGACTGTGGCCTGTCACATGAGGTTAGATGTGGACTTTTCTACCTGTGGCATTATTTGGCTTAAGGGAGTTTCCATTTTTGGAGATTTCGCATTTCCAATTTTAGGAATGCTCACCTACATAGGCAATAGGTACAGTCAAGACAGGAGGAAACATCAGTGAAAAGCGTGTAATTTGAATAGCCAGTTGGCAAGCATGTATAGATGCCTTAGTGTAACAGATAACATTGAATCATTTTGCACTATTGGTCCACCAATAAGTGCCAACTGAACAAGGGAGGCTAGCTGAGGGATACCTGTGGAGTATGGTTGCAATGTGGTTCTCCTTCCACTTTGCCACACAAAAGGCAGCCATGAACAGTAGAAGAACAGTGAAACCTTGCCTTTCTCCCAAACAGCGGAGGACCGAATACCCAGACTGTCAAGGTAGAAAAAGCCTTTCCAAAAATACTTCTAACGGAAGCCTTCAGAGTTACAATCGCAGTGAGGCTAATTTCCAAAATAACTTTGAGATTAAAGTTCCAAAAAGTGTTTTTCTCCATTTAGCAGAATGTTGGTTGTGACTTGCTTTATATTGCCTTTATCATGTTCAGATACGTTTCCATTATCCCTAGATTCTCCAGGACTTTTATTACGAAGGGACATTAGATTTTTGTCACACGGCTTTTGTGCATCTAATGAAATGGGACCTGTAGTCCATTATGTGGTGGATTACATTTACAGACTTATGAATGTTGAACCATCTCTGTATCTTTCTAAGGAAGCTGACTTGGTCATGGTGGGTGATCTTTCTGACGTGTTCTTGAGGGTTTTTTTTTTTTTTTTTTGCAAGTATCTTATTGACAAATTTTGCATCTTTGTCCATCAGGAAACTTGATCTATAGCTTTTCTTTTTCGTTGGATGTTCATTTGGTTTTGACATCAGGGAAGGAAAGAGATTCTGCCTTTCCTATTCATTGAGTAATTTGAGGAACATTGGTGTGTTAGTTCTCCTTTGAAGTTCTAGCACAATTCTGTACTGAATCCATTTTACCCTGGGCTTTTTAAAAAAGATTTCCAATTACTGCTTCTATCTCAGAGGTGGTTATGGGCTGTTTAAATTATTTACTTCATCTTGATTTAACTTTGATAAGATATAGATCTTTTAATTCTTCCATTTCTTTTGGATTCTACAGTTTATTAGAACACAATTTTTATTTCATATTTTTGTTCTTTTGAAAATTTTCATACATGAGTCCTGTGTTTACATCTCTTTCATGCCTCCTTCTCTTTCTTCCAACTCCTCCCAAATCCCTCTTAATTCCCTATCAGTTTCCTGACTTCTTTTGTAGCTATCTTTGTTACATACATGCACGCACACACGCACACACACAATAGACAGATAATTAAAACTTATTGAGTCCATTTAGTATTGATTGTATGTACATGTGTTTAGGGTTGACCACTTGTCTACTTAGCATTGGCTAATGTATCAGGAGTTCATCCCTAGAAAAAATTTTTTCTCCCTGTCAGCAGTCTTTGTCTGCAGCTGTTCAACTAGAGGTGAGACCGTGGGAAATTTTCCTATCCAATCCATGTTGATATTTCAACTGGTGTTCTAATTATGTAGGTCTTTTAAAGTCAACTATGTTGTGGCGATTTCATGAAGGTAGCATCCCTGTAATGTTTAGAAGACCCTAACTAGCCGTTGACATCCTGGTCCTTTGGATCACACAACCTTTCTGCTTCCTCTTCTGCTGTGTTCTCTGAATCTTAGTAGTGTAGGAGTTCTGTTGTAGATATATTCATTGCAGTTGGGCACCCCACATTCTCTTATTTTTGTTGAGTTGTTTGCCTCTGTTATAGACTTCATCTGTTGCAAAAAGGAGATTCTTTATCTGTGAGGATAAAGACAGGCATTTAGTATTGCTATAAATTATATTGGTTTAGGAAAATGGCAGTTGTTGGCTCTCCTCTAGGGTCTATGACATCTCCAGCTGTGGATGTTTGGTGAAGTACTGAGCATGAATTTCCCTCTATTATTCTATTGGGCCTTATGTTCAATTAGATAGTTGTAGGTTATCTCTAAGACAAAAGTGTTGCTATTGCACCATTATGGATATCTTGCTAGGCTGGTCATTGTTGTGGTCCATAGGCTTTACAGCTCAGTAAAGACAATTGGTTGCTTCACTCCATTGGCAGCTTGCATGTCACCTTTTGATACTATGAGAGCAAGTCCTCACAGAGGAGGCTTCCAGGTCAATTACAGTTTAATTCCTCCAAGTACTGTGTCCAAAGTGTGTGGTGCCTTCAGCAATGGGTTTTTATCTCCAAGTTCTGGGAGGTACCCAATGGCAGTGGAATAGAAAATATTGTTTTGGTACCCAGACCAACAACTTGAAGAGATGATTCCTATTCCTGGCATTGGGGTTTTGTTAGATAGTCTATGACTTTTGGGGAGAGCATTATTACTCCACTGTACAAGTCCATTAAAACATATATGTATAAAGATGTATTGTGTGCATTTTAAGTAAGTATATAAAATAGTATGCTTTCTATGGTGTTTTCAAGCATCCTTGGTGTTATCTCTCCTTCCCCCTCTCCCTCTGTTTTCACCTCCTTATCTCCTCCCCAGTTAAAAATCCCCCATCATTTTCTCATTTCCCCCTTGATAGCACCTGTGTTCCTCTCCACCACTCCCCCTATAATTTTAGTTTGTCCATATGAGTCTTAATTATCTCAATATCCATTATAGTGTCTTCCTTTTTAATTCCAATTTTATCGATTTGTGTCTCTTCTTTTTCATTAATCTGAACAGTTTGTCAATTTTATAACTATTTTAAAGTCAGTATAGATAAAACAAACCAAAATTGAAGTAAAGATGATGTTCAGTAATGTAAGCATTAGCATGGTGCAAAGGACATTAGTTAAAAGGTGTCTGAAAATTCTATTCTTTTATGAATTCAACAATAGTAAAATAATTTATAAAATTTGTCAAATAACTGCTTTCCTTTCCATTTGTTATATCATACTATACAACTTCCTGCTGTATTATGATATGTTGAATGATCACTGATAAGTATAACTCAATGCAATAATGCTTACATATTAAATTAACTGTCCTTATGTATACTGCTAAAATATCACTTTCAGAAGCAAATTGTGTGTTGAATGCTGCATGTTGCACGGCTCAGTGTCCTTCCAAACCTTTCCAGATTACTCATAAAGCCAAGACAAAGGTAGAGCAGCTCTTGTGGAATACTTTTTGCAGGTTTGAGTTTTAGATGGCTTGAGTTCTGCCCAGCAGATGCTGTTCTGGAGGAACTCAGGCAACAGCTTTATTAACGAGCCTGAGGAGATGGTGCAGTGGCAATGAGGTTTCCTCCAGAGATGTTGACACTGAATGGACTTTTTCACTGTCAGTTTTATTTCTTTGCTGTGTTTTGTGGTGTTTTAATTCTATGGAATTTCTGGTGCTTCCTGAAAATGAGTAATAAACTCATTTATTCTTAAATTACATGAAGGGAGTCTATTGCCTGTACCTAGAAACTAAAGACAGAGGGCACTAAGCAATTAATAACAATGATAACCTCCTTCCCAAATAAGTTCTTGCCAGACTATCCTCATTTGACTTTAGTTGATTAACATGCTTATCGAGCATCTGCTGTGTATGAAACACTAGGCTCATTGCCTTTATGGCAACAGAAAGAAATATATTTTAAAATGAAATCAAATATTTGGTTAACTACAGTGTAGTCATTAATACATAGGATACATTTTATTTTAAAAATCCACTAACTGGAAAGATATAAAAGAGTAAGTTAAAACTGATGTGATGGATCATAAATATCCATTAAAATAACATTTAATAGCTCATAGTATATATTGTAATAAATATTTATTGATTACTTTCAAACAGACACACTAGAAACTAAATAAAAGGATTTTTTGGCCATGATTAGAAAGCAAATTGGAATTATCATTCATGCTGGAAAAATACCATGATTGACTAATGGATGTTGACTATGCATAGCCACTGAAACAACCCAACTTAAGGGTTTGGAGACACAACACAGTTGAAGTGTAAGACCCTGGGTTCAGCCCACTACCAAAAGAAGAAGTGAGAATTGGTGAAAACTATACGACTCAAGTCACATGCTTATTCTGTGCAATAGTAACTCAGTGAAAAGTAGAAAATCTAAGACATTTCAAACGCCATATTCACATAATTGAGTCTTCTTTTATACATATTGTAACAGTTTTCTTCAGGGACTGACTCCCTCAGGGATTATCTAATTCCAAAAGGACACTTAGTACATTACACAGGTATATATGTATTTATATGCATGTATATTTATGTGTGTATGTATGTATGTGTAACAATAATAATTAAACAGGAAGACAAGAAATTTAAAGGGAGTGGGGGCATGG